TTTGATGAACCCCTTATGCAGCTGGGTATTTCAGGGCACTTCGTGAGTGGTGAATGGGAACGTGATGCCGAAACGAAGAAATTCCTCGCAGAACTTCCACCATACACTTATGCTGAGGAGTGGCCCACCTCCTATGATGTCTATACATTTTAAGCATTGATAACAAAAAAAATTTGTTAGGCATATATTGTTTATAGTATTGTTATACAATTTTGTGTATTTGCAGGATAATGCTATATAATAAATAACGAGCTTACACAGTAAATAAACTAAAGAGTTTTCTAGGCATTGCCTCCCATAATTTTCTGCACGGCCCGATCAAATTTTCTGCGTTAATAAAAGAGTAAAAACAAGAGTATAAAAATAAAACGAGTATTTTATTTAAAAAAAAAAAGACTCAGTATCGATGCAGACTTACTTGGATGTCAGTGGCTCGCCCGGCGCATAAAAAGGATTACAAATCGCATCCGTGTATAGCATATGCAAATTTCGAAACATCTTTGAGATAAAGTATAAAAAAAAATCAATGAGAGTTTATTAAGGAAGTTATTTGATTATAAAACTTAATACTTAAAGATGTATTTTGTGCAATACTCACCGCCCGCACTTCATTCTCCCGCAATGCTATATTTCCAGAATCCACGACAATGATAAACTTAATTTTTGTATTTGTTACAAACCCATATCTGAATACAAAAAATATTAAATAAATGAAATGGTAACACATATGTATGTGTGAGCGTTGTTTACATTTTGTGAGTCTCTGTGGAGTACAGCATGCCTAAGTAGAGTTCCTTCGATTCTGGTGTGCCCTTACTCAGTGGTTGGCACTTTTCTTCAACAACGTCGAGTGCTGCATGTACACGATATTGTAACTCTAGCTCTTTGTCCATATCGGCTGTAGTTAAGTACAAAGGCGCATTCTAAAATAATACAATATTTAAAATTGAATATTACTGTCAGCGTTTTTTTCTTCTTCTTTTACATTTCTGTATGTGAGCTTAGTAGCCCAGTACCAGAACCATTTACCAAACAGATGCAAATAAGCAAGCATTAATCATCCAATTATACTGCGTGCATTGGTTAAGGATTCTAATTATAATTACGAATATACTAATTTAAAACATTATTCAAAACCTAATGGTAAAGAGCAATGGATAGTTTCTATATGGAACAATTGCAGGGTCGTTAGCTTATATCTGACCGTGGATAGTCACTTCTGCAGCATTCCCCAAACTATTGAGCTCTTATGATAATTATCATTCGTTGATTAGATTCGGTAGCGGATTCGACCCGGTATCGTTATCCCGTCTGTTTTTCCTTTTCGGATTTCCGGTGCTGCCCTATGGAACTTTCGATAACATGTTATTGATTAATTTTATTGAAACAATCGTTGCACGATTATTTGGTTCTAGAGTTATTATAACCGGTTCTCTTTGGCCAGTATTACCTACACTCAGTGTTGCCAACTTTTGATTTTCAAAAAGCACCAAAAACTTCGAAAAAAGGCGTTTTACCAAACTAAAAGCACCAGATTTTTTTTAATCAAAGGATCTTTTTTTCATAACAGTTTGTATTTAACAAAAGCAAAAATTAACAATATTTACAAGAATACATACATAAATCAATACACAAAACGTTTTCGCTCATAACGATTTAATAGCCTCTACACATGCTATGATGACTCATGCTTACGACGTAATACCGAAGTACTATTAAAACTACTACATCTCGAGAAAGAAAAATCGAATCGCAAATAATGCCCTGAGTAGGAATGAGCAAAAAATTTGATGTTTTCATTATATAACCTCAAATATCGCAAAAATCCCTGTATTTGGCAATGTGGGGATAGGATATCTAAAAATTCTAGTACTAGAGTAATTGTGCGGCCAGATTTGGATTCAGCACCATTCAGGTGGTAAGAAAATCAAAATTTGTACAAACAATTAGAAAAGAAAAAAAGAAATCCTTAACTTACCTACGTACTAGCATTTTCAACCCGACTAGAATTCAACAAGGTGGGTTTACAACTTCAGCTTTTTATCAATCATGGTTGTATTTTAGTGCATTTAAATTTGTATATTCTTGTAAATTCCGCATCTTCATGAGACACCGCAGCTTATAATATTTCAAATTATTTCAGGTTTTAACTATCTCGGAGTAATATTAGTTCAAAAAAAGCACTAAAAAGCCACTAGGCACTAAGTAATTTTTTTTGGCGTTTTAATCTTCAAAAAGCACTAAATCTAGTGCTTAAAGCACCAAGTTGGCAACTATGCCTACACTTCTGGCAATCTTTCGAGACTCGTTAGAGCAGTGCTTTTGTTTACTACAGCGATCAAATGGAGAAAACTTTATTTTATGTTTTAGATACCACTAGAAAAACATATTCACCAACATTCCCTAAAGTTGTTTGTTTGTGCACAAATTTTCTTTTATAAAAATAAAACTTACATCCTTGCCAATTATTGAAATACACACAGCCATTGCTAAAACCAGCCCGATATTTCAGTCACCCGAAAATCTAACGTTGCCAGACGTACGTAAACTAATTAAACTAAACTTCTATACAAGTTATAAGACAAAAACTATAAATTTAATTAAAGTTGCTTTAAAATGAAATATGATGATGCATAATTATTGCGGTTTAATTTATTTAAAATTTTCAGAACTAGAAACTTAAATAAAAACGGTAAGTAGATCCATTACTCCTATATTACATACATGCACTGTACCCAAAACATGCATCACTTCTGGAAAAACAACAACTGTCGTATCATATGTTTACAAATTTGTTGATAGCAAGTGATATCGATTTGCATTTATTAGTTTGTAGCAATTGAAATATCACGGTAATCTAAAAACATGGCATTAGAGCCACCAGCACCACCCGCTGCTCCGGGTCGGATTCAACGACCTCATCGGCCCTTGCCATTTCCAGGACAAGAATCGTTTGTACTCTTCCACAACACAACAAAACGTATGGTAAACCTCTACTGGTGCGTTCACGGCAATAGAACATTTCATCTGAGCTTAGCACCTGGCGCTAATAGTAAAACCAACACATTTACTAAACATTTCTGGATATTTTGTGATAAAGACACTAATGAATTGTTGTGTGTAAGTATAGAGTTGTTCCGCCGCTGATTTCTATGGCATGTACCTACTCATTTTCGTTTTGTTTACGATTAGGTGAGTCATCGGAAAGTATTTTGGCCACAGTCATATCAAATGCCTGACCCACATAATCCTTCGCGTATGATACCATGTCGAAAAGAGATTAAAATACACTTTCCATTACGTTCGCTGCGTGAGAATTGCCTCTGGCGCGTTGTAACAACACTACATTCAGTACCTCCTAGAGTGGCGATGCGCATCATTGACGAACGTATGTTCATACCCAATGTTTTGAAAAACGAACTGAAGAAGCGTTTAAGACGCAAAGTGCAACCCGAAATGATTACAGCGGAAATAGTTAAAAGTGTAATTGAACAACATAATCAGCAAAGTAATTAAAAAACGTAAAATGTAGATGTTAGCGATTAGCAGAAAAATTTCTAACGTTTTATATTTAAGTTAAGTACTTGTAAATTTTTTTTAATTTGTCAATTTAAAATATAAGTGTAAGCATTAAGTACTTTATGAGGAATAAAGAGTGTAAAAAACAAACTTACTTTTCATATAATGCTGCTTCAAAATGCTGGAAAGGTGTTTCGTTAAAATTTCCGTATCGTTTACAAAATTTGCTAATAAAAATTAAAATGTTAATACTTTCAGGAGGAATCGTTACCAGCAACGCTGTTAAAATATTTCAAAATCCGGTAAAATTCCATTGATTCCCAATACGTGTCCAGTATATACAAATTCATCTACAAATAAATAGGTCCATGCGTGCATTCATATAATAAACACCCATACTCCGGACTTATATACAAATTTATCGGTTTATTGGCATGAATGTAATTACTCATATTCCTTGTGTGACATTTTCACTTCTTTATAATTTAATGGATTTTAATATTATATAATAGTTGTTACTATATTAGCTAGATTTTTGATTTTGTATTTTATTTTGTTTTTGTTTTATATGTATGTATGTATGATAATTTTGTATAGAACAGCTTTAAACTTATGTTAAAGTAAATAACGTGTAGATAATACGCGCCACGTACATTTAATGCATTAATACATATTATATAGATAAATTATCCAAGACTAATCTCTTAACTGTCGCTACAATCCGTACAATATATGTATAAATAAAATCCGAGCAAGGAGGACGACTCAGAGAAGAGAAAGAGAAGCTTAAGCACAGATATGTATAGATAATACAATACATTTTGCAAACAAAATTTTTAAACACAAAAGAGCAGGTAGGTACTTATGAACACTATTATTGTTTTACAATCCAAAATGTTTTTACTTCTAACAGAATATTTATGATTCTAGCGTATATGCGCTTTACAACAACACTGCTTGTAACAGCAAAATAAAATTGCTACTAGCTTCATACACAAATACATACGACACCTCGTTTAAATGCAAAATTTTAATAAGTGCTATAAATCGCCACACTTAAATATTTCGTACTAAACATATAAAAAAAGAAACAGGAAAAGTAATATTGCAGAATCAAAACAGAGATTAATACAATTGTTACTAATTCGATGATAATTCTGTATTCTGTTGGTCATGTATCGAAATATCGGCATTTTCTTTTGGAAAACAAACAAAAAAACATTCAATTCAGAAATATTCGGTTGAAATGTATAACTGGCGGCGTGAGGCAAGAACGAAAACTAATTAAGCTTAAATTGTACTCCTTCACGTTAAGGCCAGAGCGCAAGGGCATCCGTTACTTCCCACGGCTTAGTTGATAAGCTGAGCTGCGGTGTTTAAGATCTTAACGAAACGTAACTGATAAAACAAAATGTTCTAAAATTTATGTATGTGTAGTTACGGATATATGAAGAGAAGCGTTTTCTCTGTATAAATATGTTGTTGCAACTGTTGTTATGATCACATTTCGACTGTTGTGTGTGCTCATAGTTTACCATCGTAGCTAAAATTTGGCTTTGTCTTGTATTGGAAAGTCAAATCGGTCGACTGTTTCCAGATGAAGTGACGCACTGTTCGCAAATCCATATTAGGATCAACCACCTGACGAAATACAACATAGGTATAATCAAATGTGTTCAATTTTTATGCATAAACATATGGATATGAATATGCAAAACTTACAACATCGTTGCACCATAACTCAATTCGATCTTCGGCAGGTACTTGCGAGCCCTCGGAATTCGCATCACTTTGACTATTTTGCGAGGAATTTGAAGCGTTCCCACCGCTAGGAGTTGTCTCTGCACCGAGTACTTTTTCCAGTACGTGTTCGCACACCTTGCGACACTGTATAAATTCGTTGGCAACTAGTCGGTCCTATTGAAAAGTAACGATTGCAATAGGTATGAAAAACATTAGGTATTACATAATAAAATATTATTTGAATATGTATACCTTTTTGGTACGTTCTGGCTTAATCATTTGTGGGTGTGGCTGCAGGAAGAAGGGAATTTTCAAAAACTTCGGTATAGTCTTTTCGATCACCACATCCGTGACCCATTGTGGCACGGTTTCATGCAGTAATGTACTCTCGCTCTCACCAGCTGCATCGCGTACCAAAAGCCGGCATACTGTACGACCACCAACCTCACTGTAATAGTAACTTTGTAATATAAGAAAACATAACTAATTTTTGGTACTTTTAAGTATGTACCTAAATATAACTGGTGTATGTTTAGGTACTTGAAAGTAACCGTTGCCACGACTATCAGGTTCTAGCTCGCTTTGCGGCAAGCTGTGTGGAGGAGTCCAGTATTCTAATAGTGCTTCCAGCAATAATTTTCCGTAATTTATCTTTAAATAGAAGCAATTTATAACATTGAAACTATACTCCTTCTGTTCCAAGACACACCTTAGTCTCCGACGTTGGTTCCGCGCATTCTGGAAGACCAGCCTCTATGGATACCCATGCTGCAAAGCAATCTACTTCATCCTGTCCTAATACAATAGTTGGCATCTTAAAAGTAATTTAATTTAATTTTAG